TTCCTCCTCTTCGATATCTTCCAAATCAATTGGAACATTTTGAGATGCATCGTACCCCAATGGAGTACTCGAATTACCTCTAAACTGATTAATCTCATCACTAGTGAAATCCATGTGTAAGTATTATAGTAAAAAATATTGTAAAAAAGAGTAAAAGAAATTTGAGAGTATAATACTGAATTTGAATATTGAGTAAAGAAAGTTGAAAGCTCAATTGGAATTTGAATATTGCGTAAAGAAAATATGAGATAGCTTGATATGAATTTGTAAAAATTTTCTCGTATTTATAGACAAAAAAATATATCCTTTTTAACTATATTTAATTTACAAATTCAAATTTTTAACAAAACAATTCAATTCAAAAAAAATTACGAATCTATTTTTCTGGTTGCTTTCGTGCACGCCAGCTGCGTACAGACAGCTAAAATAGCTGCTTGCACGCAGCTATTTGTAACTGCCTGCTGTGCAGGCAGAAGCAGCTTTTTTTGTAAATTCAAAAATTTTATTTTATTTTTATTTTTTTAAGGCTTAATTAATTGTGTACATGGGCCGGGCTCGGGCTTTTTCCGAGCCGAGCCCGAGCCTCCGCTTTTTGCCACCGCTACGCGTAGCAGGCTGATAATACACGTAGCCCATTAATTAGGTCGATACCCGACTTTTTTACTTGATTCGAAAAAATACTGGGATTGTGATACCACGATCATATCGAGGAATTCAGCTACTAGAAATTTGCTGAGTGCACTACAGACTTAAGAATAAAGCAAATTTACTGCACTATATTATCAATTATCAAATCCAGTATATTAAATCAAGAATCCAAGCAAGTAAAAAGTGTGAACCACCCAGAAGCTAAAACGAATGTAGTAGTATAACTAAAGGTATATTGGTACAGTACAGTGAATAACACAATGGTAACTAATGTAGACTGTAGAAAAGTGATGACTGGCAAAGTAAAATAAAATCTTTAGGTGCACCGTGCACGCCTCAACTCAACAAATCTATTTATGAATTTAAGAGTCAACAAGTAATGGGCCACTATCTGAAAAATGCATGCATGCAAGCATCAAATATCTACGGTTCTTATAACAACAGATTAAATGGTCAGCGATACATTAGAATTTATTAATACTTCCGGTATTGTATTAATTCGCCTAATTCTTTATTCAAGAATAATTCTTGCTAAGAAGAACGCCCATGTGTGGCAATTCCACCCAAAAGATATTGGAGTTTCAAGTTCTTTTGTTCTCATTGTTGCCTCAACTGAATAATTTATGAGTTGATTTTAGGACAGCGGTTTGATATTTTGACCTCGATTATGAGATGATTGTAATACTTCTGTTTGTTCAAAATCACAGGATAATGAAATAAAGTGGAATGGTGGTTTTGCTAGCCTGACACTGACCACCAAAAAAGATGGATCATAGCTTCTAAAGCTGCCAGACCAAATAAATGTGAGCTCAAGTTCTTAATATGAAAGATAAACTAAAGCAACCACAACTGCAGGTTTCTACGAGCTATATCAGGTATTCAGTTGAATCCTACAACTTCTTGAGTGCCTAAAACAACTTTTCTAAACAAACGAATGACAAAAGCTAAATTTACAGTCCTCAAAAAATCTTCGCACTTTGACTTAGTAGGTTAAGAATACATGCCAGGCACTTGCCGTAAGTATCAATAATCATGCCTGTTCTCTTGAATTTTACAAGCAATAAGGTAGTAACGAAAGAAAATGCCACAAGGAAAAGAGTGTCAAAAGTTATTTGAGCTATTAACTAAAAACCTCCATTAGTTTCCACCTCATTGTGGTGGTGGTGGGGGCATTGACATCTGTGGCATAGAATGTTGTCCACCAGTTAGGTGCTGAGGTGGTGGTGGCCGCCAAACAGGTGGAGCAACAAGTCCAGATGGAGGTGGTGGTGGCCTAACTAGACCAGGAGCAACTTGTTGAGGTGGTGGTGGAGGCATGCTCCTGAACTGCTGCATTGGTGGCAAACCCATGCCAATCTGACCAGGCTGACCCTGCCAGGATGGTGGTCCAGTCATCTGCATAGGGGGGTAAACACCAGCCTGTGGAGGTTGTGGAGGTGGTGGACGGAGTGCAGGGATGGGGAGTGGAGGAACACTGCCATTTGCAAAAGGCCTTGGTGGCACTGGAGTACTGACGGTACCATTGGGATGTGGAGGAAGCATAGGAGGTCCACTTGCAAACAAGGTATGGGGCCTACTTCTCTGGCCAGTTGGATTACTCGCAGCCAAAACTCTTTCTGCATTTCATCGAGTGTACAAGCGTCATACACAACAATCACCCAATGTATGTGTAGGAACACGTGTTGAAATCATTAGTTCACACACAAAAAAACATCAAGCATGCCAACACCTCTATGAAGATACAGAATTCCATATTTCTATGTTGAAATATGCATTTTAATTGGTAGACCAAGCATGTTTCAATATTATTTATTCATCTTGGCCTTTCAATAATGTTTTGCACTTGCTGAAGGCAGTCAAGGCACGGTGATGGTTATCGGACTTGCATGAACTAGTTAGGGGTGATGGTTATCGGACTTGCATGAACTAGTTAGGGGTGTGTGTACGTCTGCAAATACAGTGCTGCTTTTTTGCCAGGGATGAGTTTGGAGGATGTTATGATGGCGTTGGGATAGTACTGGTGGAACAACCAGGGGCTCATTGTGGAAAAGGTTGTGCTTGTGAGACAGTAACGGGAATGAAATTCTGCTTTGGTACAGTGATTTATAAACTTTGTGTAAATGGTAGTGGCTGCCATTGGTTTGTTGGTGGTCTTGATAATGGTAATCTTATCGTAACAGATAAGATGGTGTGGTGAATATTCAGGCTCTCTCTGTTTAGATTGTAGCCTCCAGAAGATATATTTGGAAGTGAAATTGGTTTGAAGATAATAAGGAATGGCCTTGGGACTTTTTAGCCCTTGAATAAGGAAACTATTTCCTCCCCCCTTTGGTATGTAGGTTGAAAAAAGACGGAAACAAAACCTAGAATAGTTTTTTTCAAAAATATATGGACAAAAATTTGTTGTGTGACTTGAAAGAACATAATTAAGAGTCTGCATAGTTTCTATTCCATCCCAAACTTTTCAGTTTGACCAAACAAGAAAAAGTCATTTTCTCTGATGTTTTACTCGCTCCTTTCCCTTCCATTCAACTTCCCCTTGTACCAGATAGCCTAAAAGAAAGACACAAGTCCTTACAGGATGGGAAAGTTTGGTAATGTTGCTGGCATTTCCTGAATCGCCCAAAAGTAACTAAACTGGGCGACATGGGAGTATTTGGAAGCAGCCATATCACTAGACAAGTCACACGAACTCAGGGACTGTAAATGTAATCCACCATCAGAAATTTCCCTTTGATTAGAAATTCAATGTGGGTAAGTTGTTTATGGAACCATGCGACGTCCATCGATATTGCATTTTAAGGTATCTCTACTTAAAGTTTCTACATATGAAAGGTGCTAGAACCAATCACATCAGGGAAGATAAAAAAATTAAATAATATATACATGGACATAAAAAACAATAAGAAAAACTGACCAGCAGGAGTTCCATGACGCTCCCCCTTTGTGTCTTTCTTGTATGCATAAGACACTGTTATCTGACGATTGCAAAGATACTGGCCATTCATTGCCTGTAGAAATGATTTATATTAGTGTTCTCAAGGTCTAATAAAGGAATCATTAGACTAAATTATATGAGACTCTCAATGTTTTTTTCAAGCAATATAAGATAGAGAAGACCAAATTATGCCCTAAATGAGTGCACAAATGANCCCCCCAACACACACAGAGACAGAGAAAGTCAAATTTTGTAGCCCATGTCTATGATTTTATAAAGTTTGATTCCACCGAAAACCATCCAATGAAGAAAATATGACAATCACGGTGCTAGATTATCTAAATCAAACTGAGACATTCAAGATGATGACAAAAATAACGTCAGTAAGGGTTTGGAATACTTGATTAGAGAATGCTTCCTAAAAGATTGGCATCAAGAACTCTGAATGCTAATGAACATGTCATGGATTAATGGAAAGCTCAAACTTGTATACTTGTAGTCTTACAACAGAAGTGCACGTGAAAAGGCATTTGACACTTCTCAACTTCCAATAATGTGACAGTGTACACCAATGGAACTATAAGCTAAATTTCCATCGCTAGTGAAAGTGAAGAATACATATTTCACTTATGACATGACAAATTACTGTTCCCATTCAATTAAACAGATTCTAATGGTTTGAAAGTTTGATAATGGAACCAGTGTCCCCTCTGCAGTCAGCACAAGTATAAGAGAACATCAAATGGAGAAAGTTACCTCTATAGCTGCATCAGAAGCCTCGAAAGAATCATAGCTAATAAAGCCAAAACCACGGGAATTCCCGGTCTCTGGATCTCTCATTATCTGTAGGTGTCATAAAAAATCAGAAACCAGCAGGAAAATAAGCATCACCATGAATTCATATGCAATGATCAACAAACAAAAATTATGTCAGATAAATTTAAAAGTAATACAAGTGTTGATGGCTAGTAGCAGTAACATAATGCAGTTATGATATACAGCCACCTGGATACCTCCAAGGCTCCAACTTCTAAGAAATTAACATGACCAAATGAACCTAAACATCCAAATACCCATATTGCTAGGTGAAACAGAGAAACGGATAGAAAACATCAATGAGATTCATCAAAATAGCGAACCCAAGACAATAATAACTCCCCTTCATTATTTTAATGCTAAAAGAAAAACCTAATTGTTCTTACTGCAGAAAGCTATAGAAACTAGTAATCATATACACACTTCAATGCTGCTGGGAAGACGAGACAAATACAATATTAAAGAAATCATTAACCAAGAATACTGTGACAGTGATTCTGCAACAACCT